ATTCTGCCTTCTAAAGGCCTCATGAGATCCATTGTCATCATCGTGGGGAGGAAGTGAGGGAAAGGCTTCTGGTATACCCAGGGATCAAAGTCTGGAGATCAAGGTTGAAGTGGGGCTGAGGGCACTTTCTCTACAAGGACGAGGACTTGCCCACCCACTTCAGGGTAGGGACAGGAACTCTGCATTTCTCTGCTGATCCTGAAGCTTTCCCAGGGCAAGCAGGGTTGAGTCCACTACTTGGTGATTGAGAGGCTCCAGGCTCTAGGCAGGGCACTAGATTTCTGGGTTCTGAATTTCCCTCCTCCTGCTTACTTCATTCTTTCTATGTCTCCTGTCACCCTGATGTTGAATTTCTTCATTCTGGGTAGATTAATTGATTAGCCCTTGTCTTGTTCCCTTTTTTTGGAAATCTCATCTTCTTGATTGTCTTTTCAGCTTGTGTTTTACCTAGGAAACAAAAGAGAAAGGGAGGAAAAATGCTTAAATGGTATAGAGAAGGATGGGATTCTGTGGGGACCTCGAAAAGTGGCACCCTCTCCCACAGCTAGATGATAAAGGACAGGAGCCAGAGTAATACTTTTCATTTTGTCCGGCTGGACCAAAATTATAAGACGCCTGTTGCTAGAGTCTTCTATAGGATTACCTTAGGCTAATTACCTAATGGACACCCTTCACTTGCATGAATAGCTCTGCTGTCACATTGTTTTATAGTCATCTCTTAGCTCACCCATCTCACCCACTGCACTGCCCATTCTCAGAAAGCAGGGACTTTGTCACACTTCTAACCTCCCATTCCAGAGTGCCTAGCACTGTTAGACGCTGTATTCATGACAGATGCATGGATGGACAAGTGGGTGAATGGGTGGGTGAGTACATGGGCTGAAGGATGGATAGATAGGTGGAAACCCTCATGTTTCAAAATGCAGTAGCCTTGTTCCCTATCTACATGTGGCTTCTCTCACCCAGGTTACCAGATTTCAGCTGTGCAGAATCCAGAATCTAGCTGGGGGTGGGGGGAGACAGGGATGGGACCCTACTCTTCAGCAACAAAGGGGGTGCTGGATAGCAGATAGGCAGCAATGGGCTTCCCGAGCAGGGCAGGACTTGGCAGGCACCCAGGAAGTATTGCGTACACTCGCTGACCTTTCCTCCCTGGGTGGACGCTCAGGTTTCAACTGCTGTGTGAAAGTCATCCTGCTGTACCAGGGACTGAAAGAACACTCTCCACCATCATGAGCTGCCTCAGCCTAACTGCAGGGAGAAGCTGAGACCTGGAGCCCACAGCCACTGCTCTGAGGAGATCAGGGGCCATAGGCAGCCTTGCCTGTCTCTACCTTATTCTCAAAATTTCTTTTTATTTCTCAAAGATTCCTGTGAGGGTCAAAGGTTGAGTATTAGTCAAAGGCTGAGTTCTTGTGAAATCATAGAGATAAGGCCAGGTAGAACAGAAAACACCAACAGCAAGGCTACCTGAAAAATGTCCCTATCCTTCAGACATCCTGATCACCCTGGGAATACCATGGAGCCACAGAGGAGCCTTTCTTCCTTTCTTTGACACAGCCAGTCTTGCAAAGAGGGATTTTTGTTTTCTATCCCAGCACATGGTGGAATTAGCTATGTTCTTCCTCTTGCTTGAGGAAGGAGACATTTCTTTGATTTTTTTATAGTCTGCCCCTTTTTTCCTCAAACATTTTCCTGTCATCTCCCTCCTGTGCCCTCTTTTCCCCTCAGTGAAAGAAGATTTTCTTTTCTGAGTCAAGATCCTGTTCCCTTACTCTAATCCTACCTGGGTTTTGTTTTCTTATCTTCCTTTTATAAATCAGTCTCCTCTCTCCTTCCCTTGTTGTTGCTTGTGTCTGCCTGAATTCCTGGGTACAAAGGCCCAGCCTTGTACTCAGCATATATCAGGGCCCTGGGGAAAAGCTGAGATCACAGCCCTAGCAGTTATGGTAATTTTGGTTGGATTGTCACCAGGCACATGATCTTTACTGAATTGAGTAAGATAACGAAGTGTGTATTATTAGGATGTCTCTGTCCATCTGGAACATTTGGGTATTTACAAAATGTTCTCCCTGTTCAGGCACTTAAAATCCTTGCTCTCACAACATGTTTTGATTCTCCATATATGACCATATCTTGGAAAGCAGCTCCTCTACCAGGAATCAAGAGATTCTCCTTTTGAAGTCAGTCTTTGTTGACTCTGTGAAAGTTTTCTCTTTTGGTTCCATGAAACAAACAGGATCGTACCTCCTATCAATGAGATTCCTGAGGAGTATGGGGAGATTAGTGCTCACTGTAGAATGTGTAGATTGAGGTGAGACTGAAGGACCATAGATGGTGGTATTTTATTTTTTGTTCTGTTTGGGTGGTTGTTTTACTTTTATTTTTTGTTTTGTTTTGTTTGTGATGAGGTCTTGCTAAGTAGCCTGGACTGGTCTCAAAATCATTGATCCTCCTGCTTCAGCCTCCCAAGTACTGAGATTACAGATGCATACCACCATTTCCAGCTGCATTTTATTTACCAAATATTTATTAAGTACCTACTATTTCGGGCACTAATGATATGCCCTGGGATTAAAAACATGAAAAAGTTACAGAGCTTGTCTTCCTAGTCTACAAGTAAAGAGGAAAAAAAGAAACAGAACATTTTCTTTTGTTATTTATTTATTTATGTAATGTTACTGGGGAAGGAACCCAGGGTCCTGTGCATGCTAGACAAGAACTCTGCCACTGAGCTACACCCCAAGCCCCAAGATCTTTTCGTTTTGTTTGTTTGATACCAGGGATCAAACTCGGGTCTTTGTGCTTGCAAAGCAGGCAGCTAAATCCCTGGCTCCCCAAGATCATTTTAATACAAAGAAATAAGTATCACAATTAGATATAAACAAAGTAGTCTGAGACTGTCCCAGTTTGAAGTTTGAAGGGACAAACTTTGTACCTTATCTATAGAAAATGGCTGTTGTTTCTTACCTCGTACACAAATTGCTAGGAATAAATAAAATTACAGTTTTATGAAACAGGTGACATTTGAACTGGACCTTGAAAAGTGAAAAGTTTATCAAGTGAAGATAGTGCAGAGAAGAAAACTACAGATGGATAACAATGTCAGGACCTTTCTACCCTGCTAAAATATTCTCGGAATCAAGTGAGGTTGGAAAATATTTCAATGTAAAAGTGTAGTTGAAGAATAATGTATTGAAATAATTCAGTCAGCCATTCATGTGAAGTCAGAGCTCTGGAGGCTTGAGAGACAGAAATATTCTGTTTTACACATGTGATGTGCACCTTTTTAGTCCTAGGCTATGTCCTGGCCACCTTTTTAGGAAAGGTCCAAGCAGGGGACTTTTTTTTTCTTTATTCTCAAGCACTTCACAACTATCAGAACATAAGAATCCCACCCTACAGCGCAGAGCACCAGTGGGTTGTCTGGACAGCGCGTCAGTAAAGCAGAGACAGCCCCTTCTAGCACTTGGCCTGCAAACCTTCCCCCAGCCCGCACAGGTCCCGTGGTGTTGGAATCTCTCTGGGAGCCTTGTGACTGTGAGGAGGTTAAGTTGAAAGACCCCCATCCCACCAAGGAAGATGTCAGATGGTTGCCAATTAGACACATGACACCTTGCTCAACATCATTAGTCATTAGAGAAATGCAAGTCAAAACCACAGTGAAATATTACACACCTAGTAGAGTCGCCAGATTATTTTTTAAATGGACATTGCCAAATGTTGACAAGTATACAGAGCCGCAGGAATTCTCATACATTGCTGGAGGGAATATATAACATTATACAGCCAATTTGAAAAGCAGTTTGGAATTTCTGATAAAGTTACATGTACATTTATCATATGACCAGAATCCTGTTTCTGGGTACATTTGTGGCTTTTTTTTTTTTTTGGTATTGGGGATCGACCTCGGGTCCTTGCGCTTGCAAGGCAGGCACCAGAACTACTGGGCTAAATCCCTGGCCCTCTGGGTACTTTTTGAGAAATGAAACCCCTCTACAATCCACTAAAAGACATCTATGCAAGTCCTTATAGCAGCTTTATCACATAATAACCCAAATTGGGAGCAACCCAAATGTCCACCAGAATGGAAAATGCATTGAAATAATGGACTAGCATTTAACATTAAAAAGGAAGTAACTAACTACTAATTGTGCAGCAACATGAATAGATTTCAAGACATTACATTCAGTTAAAGAAGCCAGGCACAAAAGCTTACATAGGCTATGATTCCACTTATGCACCCTTCTGCAAAAGACAAAAGTAACAGGAGAGTCAAATTAATGGTTGCCGGAAGTGAGGGGAGAGGATTGGCTGAGTACAGAGGGACATAGCACAGGGACAACTTACTGTGGTGTTGAATATGTTCTGTATACTGTGTGGTAATGATCATGCCATTAAATATATTTATCAAATTTTATCTTTAAAAAGATGAATGTTTACTAAATATAGATTGTATCTGGAAAAACCTAGTCACAAAAGAGCACCTAGGGCTGGGGATTTAGCTCAGTGGTTCCACCACCTGCTTCACAAGCACAAGGTCCCAAGTTCAATCCCCTGTAGCCAAAAAAAGAGAGAGAGAGACATAAAAGAGTGCCTTAACCTTTGTGGTCCCCACATCAGGCTCAGGAAGGTAACATCTAAGATCTATCAGCTGCTCAGGGCTCTACCTGCACAGATAGTTGTTTAAATACTAATACTAATACCCATACTGGTGCCCTGAGGCTGACTTTTACCCTCTCAAGCCCGTTCTTCCCTACTTCTGGCTTCTAGCCCTGGACAGGGCATGCTCTGACCAAGTGCTAATTTGGGGCATGTAATCCCTATTTGTGACCTATCAATGGAGCCAAAGTTTCTGGTCAGTGGGGCTGAGCTTATAAGATGTTTGGCTCGCCTGTTACAATCACATCATCAGGAGCAAGCAGCACTTGTGTTTCTGTGCAGTGGGTAACTGCACCTCACATGCTCCTGAGAGCACGTGCGGGGCTCTGTCATTTCAGTGCTCCTCACATGGGTCAACTGTTCCAGTGTGCGATGGGCCACCCGGGTTCAAGACATCTTTACAGCTGGGAAGCTCCTGGCTCTGGCCCTGATCATCATCATGGGGGTTGTACAGATATGCAAAGGTGAGTGTCATAGGAATAACAGGGGGCCCCACACAACTTTCTACCGCAGGCCCTAGGGTTTCCTGGGTCCACCACTGACAGATCTCTTCACTTGCTTGTTAAAGGGGATGAGAAACCATATTCCCCAGGGTGGCTGAGGGTAAGGAATTTCCTCCAAAACTTGCTGAGTTTTGTCTCCCCATGCTCTCGGCTTGACTATAAAACAGCTAAGTAAAGACCCTGGACCTCTAGACTCCACTGCCATCTTGCCTCAAACTTAGGGAAGCTCTGGACCTCTATCATATTTTGTCCATATCTGAAAAATGGAGAATAGAAGAGGAGAATTTCTGTGTTTCAAAATTACTCATCTCTGCGAGAGAGAGCACTACATTCCTGAGGCCCCTGCCAACATTCCCCACTGGATTTGGTCTTTTCCAAGGCTAAGTCTGTATTTGGTTTCCATGGGACCCGTGGCACACAAGGTTCTACCTGCGTCACTGCCTCACAGAGAAAATCAGATGAGAGAAAGAGAGACTTCCCAGTTGCCCATGGGTCCTGAAGGCAGTGTGGAGAATTTGAATGGTTTGTTCAGGAAACAAGTTTCTGCTACATAATGTGCCTCCTTATTTTAATCCATTGAATTAATTCAGTTACCAGTTGTTTTTTTTTATGAATTTAAACTTAAGGAAATGACTGTGCTATATTTTCAGAGATAATGATTCCTCCTAATCTGGTCTCAATCCTTTCTCCTCATCACACTAATCTCCTTATTTCCTGTCCAAATGCTTGGTTACAGATTAATGAATAACGTATTGTTAGTTCCACTCTATCTCATCACTCTCTCAACAAAATTCCCCTCTAGTCATGCCAGGGCCTCATACATGCAAGGCCATTGCTCTAGATATTGCTGTAGCCCAGCACCCTGTTTTGATGGCACACTGTGTGCAAGACACCATGCTAAGTACTAAGAATGCAATTTCAAGGCTCTTTACAAAAGGTCCCTAAAAACAGACCAAACACACCCCTAAAAAGAAATAGAATATAGACAAAACAAGCAAGACAAGCTGGAACTAATATAGAAGCTTCTGTCTGAACACGTTGTTCTTGATGCTTTCTTCGTGGAAATGCACAAACAAGTAGTAGGGAAAGTGGTCAGGAGACTGCAAGTGACTCCAGTCTTACATGTCCAGAGCGCAGCAAGACAACCAGCCCCCCGTGTACTATGGCCCTTCCTTCCAAGTAATTTTCCCCTTTAAAAAAGAAATGCTGCCATGTACAAGAACCTGATAGCCTCCATTAATGTAAACATTGTACACCATAACATGAGCTAAGACAGATAATATCAACAAGAATGAAAAATGGGATAGGGAAATCAGTGGAAGAGGGAGGTGGAGAGAAGGGAAAGGGGATTTAAAACAAAAAATAAGCTGTGGTATGTCCATGTAACCACTCCCCAAGATGACTGTAAACTGCATGAACTGCGGACATGTACGATAAAGTTAAATGTTAAAATTGTTAACTGTTTTGAACTTTGAACTTGAACCCTCACTGGACTTACGGTTACCAGGTACTGGGAGGTCCCTAGAAGTGGATTTCCCTGCTCTATTTAGCCCTGCTTCTCCAATAGGACGAATTCACTAGAGACCAAACAAAGAGCCGGCATACTCTCTGAGTAGCATCCTGCCTGTTATGTCCACAGGAGAATACTTCTGGCTGGAGCCAAAGAATGCATTTGAGAATTTCCAAGAACCCAACATCGGCCTCATCGCATTGGCTTTCCTTCAGGGCTCCTTTGCCTATGGAGGCTGGAACTTTCTTAATTATGTGACTGAGGAACTTGTTGACCCCTACAAGTGAGTTGCTATAGCCCAGTTCTTCCCCTCACTATTAAAAGCCCTTAACACCTTATGCTAGAAAAGGGAGCACGTGTGCTCTACCCACTTCTCACCCCCATCCTGAACCTGCTCTGGTCTCTCCTGATGTAATAGTTCATTTCTCAGGAATTTAAAGCATTTTCCATCCACCCTGCCAGGAGGGGAGAAAGGGTCCTGTGACTGTCCCAGAGCAGGTTAAAAGCTAAAAACTTCTAGATAACACCACTGCCTTAGCAAATGCCCTGGTCCCACAAGGCCTCTGGGCATCCTGTTTTCAGGACAGGCCAGTTCTTGTGTCTCGAGGCAGATGGAAAGGTGCATGGTAGAGATCTGGCTCAAAAAGACATCAGCAGGTATGGAGCACATTTCCAGCCTGAGCTGTTTCGGTACCTTTAAATTGTCCTGCCCTGATTAGATAAAGCCCACCTCCCAGGTAGAGAAAGCACCACTCAGGTGCAAGGCTAGCCTCATGCAGACCCCTCGCCAAAATAGCACCCCAGGCACAGGCCTCCTTCTCACCTCCTCTCCCTCTACAGGAACCTTCCCAGAGCCATCTTCATCTCCATCCCACTGGTCACATTTGTGTATGTCTTTGCCAATGTCGCGTATGTCACTGCAATGTCACCCCAGGAGCTGCTGGCATCAAACGCAGTCGCCGTGGTAAGAAATCAAACCCAGAGGGCTGGGGATTTAGCTCAGTGGTTCTACTTCCTGCCTTGCAAGCTCAAGGACCCGAGTTTGATCCCCAGTACGAATGTGGGGGAGGAAGATCAAACCCAGAATGCTGACATAGATTTGCCTGTGTAGCTTCACTCACTTTTCCCTGATCCATGGGCTTGTGGTATTGGAAGTCATCCTAAATCCTCAGTGCAAAATCCATGTGTATCCTCGACATGGGATTCTCAAGTGTCCAGGGGCAAACTAATGACTGGTTGTACCCAGAGCAACTACCGTGCAGAACTGAGTTGTTGCCCCTGAATTTGTATGGCTTGAGAAGCTGAAATATGTAGTCTCTGACTCTTTACAGAGCAAGTCTGCTGGCTGCTGACCCATTGCGCTTTAAACTCTGACTGTGAGGCTTCTATAAAGGAGACAGGCTGCTCCTCACAAAGCTAGAACCGTGCACAGGGCACACCATTTCTCTCCATCTCTGTTTCCTCTGGAAAGTGAGAAGCTGACTGCTCATCAGGGAAAAGTGGGTGCTGGCGAGCAGTTCAGAATTGCAGTTTGTGTTCTTTGGGGAAAGATCATGCAGATCCAAGGGGCTGGGGTCCTGGATACCCGAGGAAGGCCTTGGAGCCCCGCTGCTGCCTCACCTGGCTTCAGTCTGGGCCACAGCCCCACCCTTTCAGACAGTGCCATCGCTGATGTCATCTCTAAGAACATGAAGAAAGCACCCTGCCATCACCGGGGCAGCACCCATGTTCCTATAACCAACAGCCTTCCCTAGCAGGATAGCTACTTTACACAACCCCTCCCCAGCTGTGTGCTGTAAAACTGGCTCAGCATGTACAGAGAAGGCGGACCCCCTGCATTTTATAATATAGATTTAATAAAGCTTTACAACCTTGTCTTTCTCAGCTGAAGTAATGGCTGGTTCTTATTTCTCTTTACCAACATAATGTTCCTGTGAATGTAAAAATTCTTAACCCTGTGAGTTAAGAGTCATGCATGTTTTACACGAGAAACAGCCTAAAAATTACAAACCCCCAATACTCAGCAGGCTGAAGCAGAAAAACCATGAGTTCGAGGCCAGCCTTGACTATACAGCAAAACCTTGTTGAAGAAAATAACAACAATAATAATAATAACTACAAACCTAGGGCTGAGGATGTTGCCCTGTAGTAGACCACTTTTCTAGCGTGCAACAGGCCCTAGGTTCAGTTATTCTGAACTACTGGGGTGGGACATTTACAAGCCTTGCTCAAAGCAGAACTAGGATCTGAACTGAGATCTGTCTGATTCACAAGTGTGGAGAAGCGATGTTGGGTTCTTGGGGCCTGGGCTTATGTCATCTGGCTCCCAATCCTGGGCCCTCCTCTTCCTAGGTGTGTGATCTCAGGTGAGCCACTTAATCACTATTGCCACAGTTCCCTCATCCCTAAAACAAGGATAGTACATGTCAGCTAATTACTGTTATCACATCCAGCGTAGTGCTAATCAGTTACTTTCTCAGAGCCTGTGCCTATCACTGGATGCAGTGGTACAGGCAGGGGCTGAGAGAATCAGCAGTGGGGCCGGGAGATAGGCGCTCCCCAGAGATGAGCAAGATGGAGGTGAAGAATGCTCCTCACCTTTTCCATTTACACTTTTGTTTTCCCTCCCAGACTTTTGGAGAGAAACTCCTAGGGGTCATGGCCTGGATCATGCCCATTTCCGTTGCCCTGTCCACCTTTGGAGGAGTTAACGGGTCTCTCTTCACCTCCTCCCGGTGAGTGCCTCCTGGGCCCTTCCCTGGCTGGGGCGGCTCTGCTGTGTGCATTGCTCCATGTGTATGTGGTGGGCTTGTCTGTGTCTGTGGGGGCCCGTGTGGGCTCCTGGTGGTGGCTCTGCTGAGGTGTGTGTGTGTGTCAGTATGGGTGCTGAGTGGCCGTGCACCTCACCTGCACTGTGTGTGGTGCGCAGATCGAGGGCTTCGCATGCAGTGTCTGCCTTGTTGCAGGGAGCAGGAGGCTGCAGTTGGCAGCAAGACTGTGTCTTGGCTATAGTCCTAGAGTCCCCTTTCCACTCCCTGGACACAAACAAGCAGCTGCTGGCAGGGAAAGACTCCTACTCTCAAGGGACCAGAGAGAGGCTCTGCCTGGGGCCTCTGGGTCTGGCCTCCCATGAATGTTCTAAAGCCAGACCAAACACAGGTTGGGTTCACTCTGGGTGCCACGAGAGTGCAGGGCTGCTCCTCACTCACCAGGCAGGTGCCGCCACCCGCGAGACGCAGGTGAACATGAAGTGAGAGGATGGGGAAGAGTGGGAAGAAAGCATTCGTCAGTGAAAGTCTTGCAGATGGTCTCCATCCCAGAACTCTGGGAAGCCAGATGCAGGTGTGTGCCGTAGAGTCCCCACATCCAGGGATCTATCTGCTCCCGCTTCCTGCCCCATATCCCTTCCTGCCACTTCCAGAATGTTCTGTTGAGGCCAGCAGATGGATACTGGATGATTTTCATACATGTGATCCAAGGAGACCACCCAGGTTCTTATAAAGCCCCTTGCCCTTGGGACAGAGCCCCACTCTGCTTCCAAGGCCTCCTGTCACATTAAGTGGAGTTCCTGTGAAATGACAAGGGACTGCCATGTTTTCAGGAGTTAGAACAGCAAAGAGGAAATGTATACATCCCCTGGACCCAGAACTCTTAAGAGAATCATCCATAGCTACCTCATGTGCATGTTACACAGGAGCCATGGTCACCTGGAGGCCCCAGCCGAGGGCGAGCGGTGGAAGATGAGTGACCCGGGTGGCTCCCTGGGACCTATGGAGGAGAGTGGCCACAGTAGCATTAGAGTGGGCTTCGTCCCTCAGGCAGGCCAGGCCACGGTCTGCATGCATGTGGTCGAGCTGCATGTGCGTGCAGGAGACAGTGGCATGTGGTATGCTCAGCCTCTGATTCAGAGGTGTGACCTCACCCACCCAGCTTCCTCAACTCATCTTCCAGTGCCTTCTTCCTTTCCTCTGTCCTCACTTCCATTCTTTGTGTTCTGGGAAATGGAAAAGGTGATCCTTCCTGAGGAGTCAAAGCGTGTGTGGGTGTGTGCTATGCTAAATGTCGTTGTCTCCTCCATTGCCTGCCAGCGAGGCAAGGATTGTTTCTTTTGAACGTGACACTTGCAAGTGCTGTTGTAAACACACTTGGTCCTGGCTGCAATCAGAGGAGGGATATGAATGTGGGACCCTGGCTATGTGCATGCGAAGGCCCACAGAGCACCTGGGCTCAGTCTAGTGCATGAGGCTGCTCTAAGGACAGGAGCGGGGGGAGAGGCAGGATATGGGCATCTGCATGAACTCCTGGTAGTGACATTGGCCCAGGTAGTTCATGCTGGGGCCACTGCTATGGATATTGGAGCCAGTCACTATTTGGAGTCAGTCCCCACACTTTGGACACACTGCCACTATTCCACACACCGATTACAAAGTAAGTGGCATTTCTCAGAACTCCCATGGTGCCAGCACTGCACCTTTCTGTCCTTTTCACGCCATCCTCTTTGCTCTTCCCCTAGGTGCTTCTTTCCCTAGGAAAAAAACAGCAGTCTGTTTTGCACTCATTTGTAAAATACAACAATTTATAGCATTTTCCCTCTTGGAAGAGGGAAAAGGAAATGTGTGTGTGTGTGTGTGTGTGTGTGTGTGTGTGTGTGCGCGTGCGCGTGTGTGCACACACGTGCGTAGGATGATAGAATCAAGGCCTTACACTGAGCTATACCCTGGCCCTTTTTATGAACGTACTGAGTGAGGATCTGTAAAACTTTTGAGATAGGGTCTTGCTACATAGTCCACACTGACCTTCAACTCACACTTCTTCCTCAGCCTCTTGAGTGCTGGGGTTATAGGCATGCGCCCACATCTGGCTGGCTTTTTCATGTTCTCTCTCTCTCTCTCTCTCTCTCTCTCTCTCTCTCTCTCTCTCTCTCTCTCACCCCTCCCCTCTCCTCTCCTCTCCTCCCCTTTCTCTCTCTGGTTTTTTTTGAGACACAGTCTCACTATATAGAAATCAGTCTAACCTTGAACTTGTGGTAACCCTGCCTCAGCCTCCCAAGTGCTGGAATTATGAGTTTGTACCATCATGCCAAGCCGATTTCTCTTCTTAAAAATAACATTTAGAGCTGGGCATGGTGGCACATACCTGTAATCCTAGCATTGGGGCAGCACTTGTGGGAAGGCTGAGGCAGAAGGACTGAAAGTTCGAGGCCAACCTGGGCTTCATACTAAGTTCAAGATAAGCCAGGGACTACGTGGGCAAGACCATATCTTAGCCCATGTTATTTTATTTTTGAGAGAGGTCTTGCTAAATTGTCCAGGCTGGACTCAAACTTGCCATCTTCCTGCCTCAGTCTCCCAGAAATGTATGTCACCTCAACTGTCAACAATAAAACTTTTAAATATCAATATCCTAGTTGTGATATTATACTGTAACCTTGCAGTGTCCTGATGGAGGAGACTGGGTAAAGGGTACCTAACGTCTCCCTGTTAATTTTTTACATATGTGAATATTTTGCTCAAAATAAAAAGTTTAATTTTTAAAAAAGGTTTAAAAATAATTGTCCTGGTTGTGAATGTCCTATTAGGGATGATAGTTCGGTGGTAGACCTCATGTATAGTGTTGTACACAGGACCCTGAACTCAATCCCCAGCACCAAAAAAATTTTTGTTCTATAAAGTATGAGAGAGGAAACTAAAGCTACTCATAACTCCACCATCCAAGATGTTAGTGGGGCATTTTAGTGTATTCTTACATGCTCATAAAAATTTTCCATTAATTAGAATCACAGATTCCTCATTTAACACCATGTTATTAGCATGTCCTCATGTAATCTATTCTTTTCAAAAACATGTTGTGGCTTCATCATTTTCCATGTATGGACAGATCATCTTTTATTTAACCAGTCTCATCCTTTTAAGCATTTAGGATATTTCCATTTTTTTCTTAGCATCGTTGTAAATATACCTTTCTCCAACTCTATTCATTTCTTTGGGTTGGCTTCTTGGGACTAGAATAAGTAGCCCTGAAGGTGTACATGTGAAGTACAGTTTACACGCAATTATATGAATGGGTCATAGTGTTCAATGGAGGAGTTTGACAGTTACAGGGAGCCATGCAACTGCCCCCCAGAACTTCTCCACTCACACACACACACAGCTGCGCCTGATCTCCGAGTACCACGAGAAACCTGTTCAGCGCTCTCCACGGGTAGTTCACTCTGGTGTTTCAGGGCATCTGTACACCCAGCGGGTAGTGAGGCGCATCTGGACAGGGTTGGAGGCTGTAGGAGAGGGGCTATTCCCACAGCCTTCCAGACTTTGGGGGTGACACAGTAACAGTGCCCCGAGCCAGCCAGACCTGGAGTAGGCCCAAGGTCTCCCCCGCTATCCAATGGCCACCTCTGATTTGCCTGCACCCTCATTAGGACTAGAGGGCTGTGAGGTGCACAAGAAGGTGCGTGCTGCTTGGAGGTGAGCATGGAGGAGGGACCCTGGCTTGGTGGCCGGTGGGCCATTCCCAGATTACCTGCTCTTTTTTCCTGCCAGGCTATTCTTTGCTGGAGCCAGAGAAGGCCACCTTCCCAGCGTGCTGGCCATGATCCACGTGAAGCGCTGCACGCCGATCCCAGCCCTGCTCTTTACAGTAAGGGCCCCACATGCACCCTCCCTCTCTTTATACCGCAGTGGGGCTTCACCCTTCCCACGCACACCTGTCACCCTTCTGGTTGGCCCAACTTTTCCTAGGCCTTAGATAATCTGGCAGATGGATTAATCGGCCTTATTAATATCAGGAGCTATCATAAGGAAAGACCCCGAGTCCAAAACACCTGAAGCTGTCAGCCTGGCTCATTTTCATTCTCCCACCCTGTGGGGACAGACTGAAGTGACCACCTCATAAACACACGGCCCCCACATCAGACCTTCCTGGTGCCTGTAACCATGGGGGTGAAGCTTTGAGCCTGTGCTCTGGGCTGCTCACTTGAAAACCCATCTCCCGCCACCCCAACTTCTTGCCCCAGAAAGGAAGACCAACAAATTGAAGGTAGAAAAGAAGAAATTTGAGATGGGGAAGAAATGAGGGTAAAATTTCCCTGGAGTAGAATCATTTAAGGAGAGCTAAAGGAAAGCGCAAAGACTTGTCCCCATTGAGTCTTTTGAGTTATTCTTTCCTATCTGGGTCCTGAATAAAACGTTAAAAATGACTTTGGAAAAAATAAAATGGCTTTGGCCCACTGAAGAAGTGGTCAGAAATCCGAATAAGAGAGCTTGGGGAGCCAAGGGCATTGTACACCATTGGGAAATATCAGAATGTTCAGGCCCAGGCTGAAGGTCATCCTGATCAGTTAGCCATAGAGTTATCTGGAGAAGGTTGTGTTCCTTCCTGCTGGACCACATGGCTTTTTTTTCCAACGAGCCTTACCTTGGCTGCACAGCGAGCACAGCAGGAGTCAGTCCTTTTCACCCATTAACATCTTCTCAAGTTTTTTCACCATCAGATCTCACAGGAGAACTGACCCTTTTAATGACCTTCACAGATTACCAGAGAGAAAAGCATGGCTTCCTCTAAGAGTCACAGAGATAACTTTGAAGTTAGAAAGTGACCTCCATCAAGAAAACCTCACAGGGATGTTATGAGAGTTAAATGTGTTAATATTTGCAGAATGCTAAGAATAGGACCTGGCTGTGCAACTGTTTACAAAAATTTTTTAAAGAAAAGGAAGGAAAATAAGTGAGATGACTCAGCCAGTGGAAAAGGACGAGGGCAAGAACAAAGCCTTAATCTTCAGTTAATAATCTTCTCGGGGTTTCTTTTTAAAAAGTAAAGAAAAAAGAAATTAGCTTTAGCTGTAACGAAGGGAAACATATAATGAGAAAAGGACTGATGCAGAGCCAGGTGACACCAGGTGCCCAACCCTGTGAACCTCCTCCAGCCTCTTGGGTACTTTTGTGATCACCATTGAGCCCCTCATTTCCCCAGTGCATCTCCACCTTGCTGATGCTGGTCACCAGCGACATGTACACGCTCATCAACTACGTGGGCTTCATCAACTACCTCTTCTATGGGGTCACGGTTGCTGGGCAGATAGTCCTTCGTTGGCAGAAGCCTGACGTCCCTCGCCCCATCAAGGTGAGAGAACCTCTTTGGGGATCTGCTGTCACCTTCATTTGATTCAATCTGAGGGGACAGACATTTCCTCTCTCCCCTGGAGACAGGACCAGAATAAATGGCCCTGGGGGAATAAGTGGGTTAAACGTTATTTTCTTCACAGCATTCCATTGTTTCCTACCACTCCAATTCTCAAACCCAGCTGGATTTTCAGGGCTCTCCGGTCTCTCCAAGGTTTCCTCCCTGTTCTTCCAGATAGACAGATGTCTCCCTCCCAAAATGGGTTTCCTCTCATCTGCCTGTCTAGGTTCTAACTGTACCAGGTGTGGTGGCAGCCTGTAGTCCCAGCTAATTGAGAGGTGAAGTCAGTAGGATCATTTGAGCCCATGTTCAATCCCAGCCTGGGCAGCGAAGTAATACACTGCCTCAAAAACAATGAATATATTCTCACCACTTTCTAAATGGGCCTCAAGTACCTCCTCTTTTTTGAAGCTCTCCAACCCTCCAAATACCTACCTTCCTTCTTTTCTTTCTTTCTTTCTTTTTAACCGCACTGAAGATCAAACCCAGAGCCTCACCTCACTCACACCTAGTGCTAGGCAAGCACTCTCCCACTGAGCTATTCACCCAGCCTCCCTTTTCAAACTCCTGTGACCCTACATACACTGCTGTGGTTAGTGAACTTAATGACTGCTACAAAAATAATCTCTTATGAAAGGAACTGATGGGACCGTTCAGAACAAGATATGCTAGAATGCTGAGTTCTCCTGCAAAACAGAAGAATGATACGGACCAGAACACTACTAGAAAGAGAGACCTGAACCTACCAGAAGATTCTTCCAGCTGAGATATCAAGGGCCCTCCAGATCTCTCAGCTCTCCACTGTTATTTTTGTTACTATTTTTCTTCCACTCAGAAAATCTGAAAGGTTGGGGATGGTGGTGCACACCTATAATCCCAACACTCTGGGAAGCTGAAGCAGGAGGATCACAAGTTTGAGTCCAGCCTGGGCAACTTAGCGATTTAGCAAGACCCTGTCAAAAAATTTTAAAAGGCTGGGGATGTAGCTCATGGAAAGCCCTGGATTTAATCCCCAGTACCTTTAAAAAAAAAAAAAAAGGCAGGTGGGCATAGTGACACATACCTGTAGTCCCAGAACTCTGGGAGACTGAGGCAGGAGGGTTGCAAATTTGAGCCCAGCTAGAGAAATTAGCAAGATCCTGTCTCAAAGTCTGAAGAATAATTATTAACACATGTTTTTTATTCATAATAAATACATTCATCAGGAGGAATTGGTAATATACATATCAATTTTTTTTTTTTTTTTTTTTTTTTT